AGAGAGAGAGAGAGAGACCATGGTGATTCACTTAATGACTAAAGGTGAAGTAAGCCCATAAGCCTATTGTGGTAATGTCCTTAACAGATAATTAATCAGAGTTGGAAGGGACCTTATAGATCATCTGGTCCAACCCCCCACCCAAGCGGGAGACCCTACACCATTTCTGACAAATGGCAGTCCAGTCTCTTCTTGAAGGTCTCAAGTGATGGCGCTCCCACAACTTCCGAGTGCAAGCTGTTCCATTGGTTGATTGTTCTCACTGTCAGAAAATTTCTCCTTATTTCCAGCTTAAATCTCTCCTTGTTCAGTTTCCATCCATTATTCCTTGTCTGGCCTACAGGTGCTTCAGAAAATAGCTTGACCCCTTCCTTTCTGTGGCAGCCCCTCAAATATTGGAAGATTGCTATCATGTCTCCCCTGGTCCTTCTCTTTACTAGACTAGCCAAACCCAGTTCCTGTAACCGTTCTTCAAATGTGATTTTCCACTTTGGGACCACAGTACTTAATCCTAGAGTTGTCAGTCCCAATTGTGGTCACTAAGTGAGGACTACCTGTATTTTATAAGGCAATGTTGGAAAATAGAGAAGTCTGCATTGGAGCCTGCAATTCCTAATGTTTAAATGGGAATGGCTAGTTGTCTCCAGAAATTGAACAAGGACCTCATTTAATATCAAATCAAGGACTGTTAATGAGCAGCCAGACCTACTCATATGTAATGTGGGCATGAAAATTCTTCCAACTTTGGCATTTTCTTATATGTGTGGTCAGGTGTTTATGTTGTTGGATCCTTCCCCCTCCCATCTATTTTGGCAGCTGACTATATTTCTAAAATAAGCATTGAGCTTTAAAATGAACTTGCAATGATCATAACTGTGTAGGTATACAACATTTTATATAACACATTTTATGGGAACTGAGATTTTTCAACATTTTGGAAGGGCATCATTGTATTCCCACTAATTTGGAACTTCAGAAGAAGTTGGATGCATGTATATTTAAATACAAGTAATGATCCTTTTCTTCCACTCCCAATCCATTTCTATGATGCAGTTTTGATGATTTTTCATTGAATGACTATGGAAGAATTTCTGCATGTTGCACCCTGATTTCTTCCCTTCTTCTTGCTATAGGAACAGTGGCAGCTAGAATCCAATTGAATGCTTTTGTTAGCAAAAGTTATTGCTGATGTTCAATGGCAAGCAGCAATTTCTTTTTCTTATGAACACTTTGAAGGAAATAAAATAATATCTACCTGAACTAGCAATAAACTACTAGGACGGTGCTGGATTCTACCTAGGGAAAAACTCATATTTTTAATTTTCCATAGTTGAAAATGAATATTAGAGATTAATACTATGTTTTGTGAAAATAGCTTTGAATGCAATAAGGACTATGTTACACAAAGTGAAAAGATGTGTTATTATAAAACTCATAACTGGAAATATACTGAAAGACAGCAACAGACAACAAAATGCCTATATTCTAAATAAGAAAATAATGAAAATGTTTCAGAGATCATCCTAGTCAGGAAGTGGTATATAGTGGGAGAAAAGGAATGGAAAGCATTGCATGTATAGATTAAAGCAAAGTTAGTTTAATTATCAGAAGAATGCCAGAAATCCAAAGAATGGATATGGTTTATTTTATATTGGCTATGAGGAAAATGAATTAAATTTAATGAATAATTAATATTTACATTTTAAGTTATTAATTTATTCATTTCTCTTTATCTCTTTCTTGCTGTTTACATATAATTTTCCCTCTATTTTTCCTAGGCTCACTGGGAAGGTCTCACTGGCAGGATAACTTTCAACAAAACCAATGGTTTAAGGACAGATTTTGACTTAGATGTCATTAGCCTTAAGGAAGAAGGTCTTGAAAAGGTACTTAAGTTACTTCCTCACAACTGATAATAGTTCAAAAGAATAATATTTCTTATTTTTATTTATGAATTTATTTAAATTACTGGATATAATGTTCACAATTTCATTGCCTGTTTAAAAGGGTTTTTAAGTGATGTTTAGTTATGATGGCTAGATCTTTTCATTCAAATGGTATATAGAAAATTACAGCTGTCATTACATTAATAGAAAACGTGTACATCATTAATATTAAAGTAATAGAAGCTGTAATGGTACATGGGAATAACCTTGGAAGGACCAAATGACATGGGAATGACCTTCAAGAACCAAAGATTTGGCAATGGTCACAAAAGCAGCAACTAAGTCTACAGTAGGAAAGGGAGGTGTGGCAAATGTCTCCGAAGGAACCCTTCCTAGATTTTAAAGGCAAGGTAGGAGATACATATATTTAGTCTTGCAAGGTCCTGTTTAGATAACTTTATGATATGTAGAGAGCTAGTACTGTTGGTTCTATCTCAAAGGGCTGACAGAAGCTGGGCAGTCATATAACTGTCAGCCCTGTGATATAGGCCAGTTTAATGAATGGGCACAGCAGGGATTCTGTTAATGCTATTTATTGTTATAAGGTAGACAAGTAGAATATTTAAAACCTGTCAGAGTTTTGCTCTGTTATGCTAAACATAATGAAAGAAGAATCATTTTGAGTTTTCTCCCCTCACTTTCCCCTCTTTCTTGGGACGAGCAATTTTTTCTCCAAGGTCCTTAATTGTTTGCTCATCCTTTCCCATTTCAGGAAAAAGGTTTATGTTCCTTTGTGATAACCATCTGCATATATTAATGCTGTAAGTTCAAAAGGATTTGCATGCCACTCTTGTAACTCTATTTTTTTTTAAAAAAAAAAAATCTCCTAAAGATACAAGAGAATAGCAGTGAGGAACTTCCATTATTTAGTATCTTTATGTACAAACTACAGATTTCCCTCTCTGTAGAAATTTGGTATTTATATGGTTGATCATATTTGTTCAAGAATTTGCTTTATAAAAAAACAAAAAGCCTACCCCATTGTCACTATAGACAATTGTGACAAAAATTTGCAGACTACCTAGGTATCTTCCCACCCAAACCTCTTTTCTGTCTTTGACAAAATCTTGTATCCAGATGAATTCACAAGATTTAGATCAATTTGAACAGATTTGGAAAAGAGCTGTGAGAGTATTAGAAAATATTCCCAGCAATTGCTGGGAATATTTAGCTGAGGAAACAGAAAATTGAAGGGGGATATGATAAAGCATGGTGACCAGATGACTTCTAGGGTTCTTTCTACTCTGTGAATCTATGATTCTTCAAATTATGTCATCTATTGAGTAAGATTAACTTTTTTACATTAAAACCTCAACTTGCAAGTATGCTTTAGTTAATATCCTTATGTAGAACAGAGAGCTTGATTTAAAGGCCTGTCTGGCTTTGTGATTCTATTTGTTAGCTGAAGCTTTTCTGAATATTTCTATCATTTGGAGCCATACTTCTTTAATTTATTATAACCTATTTCTGATTGGTTGAATTAGTTAAGGTTTACTGAGTCATTGTTCAGCTGACTACCAACACTTTTCATTTGGGGGCAGCTTTGGAATTAAAATACTTAGGCTAAGCAAACTAACTTCAAAAAGATATGATGCTAAAGTTAATATTTTATGGAGAAATATAACTCTGGTTAAAATTAGCACCAATGCTTTGTAATCCCATTACAGCAAAGGGCATAATATGTTGGAATTGATCATATATGTTTTAGGGAGCTACAAGAAATAAAGTGTAAGAGATATGGTTGTCAAGCAAGTATAATTCTTTCCTAAATAAGTTTTTTTTAAAAAAGCCATAGAACGTAGTAAAGGAACTATTGAACAACTACCTGGAGTTTTGTGGGGGGTCGAACAGCATATAAATTTAGTTAAATTAACTATGAAGGAATAATTTTGTTGATTCACAATGCAAATATAATGAATTTTATATAGTATCCTTAATGTCTGTAGACAAAAAAGGGGTGTAAGATTTTAAACTATTAGTGTTACACAAATGTTGCATCTTATTTATTATTATTATTGTAAATGGACTAACTTATACACTAGCCAGTTATAAACCCAGGTTTTTAGAATATACTGATTTGTTGATTTATGTGTGAGTTTGTGTCTATGTGTATAAAACAAGGCTTTTTGAGATTTAATTAAACATTGTTATGCAAGCCATAACTTAGTGTAATATGTAAACCAGGGCAGTATCTCCTTCTGGAAGCTATTTTTGCATCCTCCCCCCAACCCCCAACCTCTTACTTGCAATCCAATAATGAAAGGAATATGCTGAGGAGACAGTAACTGTGAAATTTGCTATATATTATTTTTGGACAGTCAGAGCAAGATCTTAGCCACCATCTCCACTTTCTTACCTGAAGTACCCTTTGTTCAAAATAGGTTTCAAAAGAGACCCTAAAACTAACCATTCCTATTTTTTAAAGAAACATTTTAAAAATAATGCTGCTATAATCCAGTCAAAGCTTTTCAACTGCCTTTATTCTATTAAATTTACCAGCAGAAATTGGATTTCCAGGATTCAGAATGAATTCATTTCATTCTGCCAATTTGGTGTCAGAATCCAAGTGAAAATCTAATTTGGCCAAATTGTTTCTGAAGCAATATATTGAGTTCTAAAACAACGGCACCCTTGTCTGGAATACATTCTTCTTCAAAAATTTGTACTACCTTTAACTGGCTACTGCTGAATGAATTGCAGTGGTAGCCACAAGTCATCAATTTTTAAGAACAGCGGATAATTGTGATTGAATAGAAGGGAGCAGGAGTAAGTTTCCACTCCTAATTTTTTTCTGACTTGGGAGAGAAGAACGCAGTTGAGTGTCAAAATATAATTTATGAGACTTGAATGCAGGATATCTTTATGTGTGTGTATCTGAAGTTTCATAGCATTCGGAAGAATAGAAAGGAACAGATTTGTTTACAGTGAAAGATAACTTATACAGGGGGAATATTATATACCAAGTTGTTATTACTATTCTTTTTCTTTAGAGGATAGAATTTAAATGGAAAATTAAGTACTCGACATTCTATACATCCTTTTACCCCAAATGCTACACTTTGCTAGACATATTTTGAAATCCAGTGAATCACGTTTTAGACCAGCTGCTAAAATGATAGCTGAAATTGCACCATAAGAGAACAGGAGAAAGCATTTGCAGTTTTAATTTTGTCTTATCATTTTGGTTTCCTAGTGGATGAAACTTAACCTATGAATGATGTGTAAGTTTTTATCCTGTTTTCTAGATTGGAACCTGGGATCCTGCAAGTGGCCTTAATATGACTGAGAATCAAAAAGGAAAACCAGCAAACATAACTGACTCCCTTTCTAATCGTTCCTTAACTGTAACCACTATTTTGGTAAGTTATCCCTCATGCAATTAGTTTTCAGAGGTTCAGCCATAGTTGAAAACTGCAGAAAGTCACAGTGCATAAAATAATAATTACCAGCATTTGTATGTCATAGTTATGTAGCAATTACTGATTAATGAATAAGCTGAAATATCTCATTAACTGTGGGATTTTACATCAACTATGAAGGTAGCAATTTTAATTTCTGTGCTATAATCTCAGTTGATTAATCTAACTTTCTTGTGATTTTCCAACATTTATATATTTAGACAGAATATGCTTTGCTAGATTTAGGAAAAAAGTTTCAGTTGGAGGGGTATATAATTTTTAAAATGCAATTAAAAATATTAATCTAGCAAATAAATTCTTTCCAAAAGCAGTAGTGATTCCTTCAGATTTCTCATTCATATTTATTTTAGATTTAATTTCAAATTTGAATAATAAAAGAAATATACATCCGAAATAACTCCTTAAATACAGAAAAATTAAGACTTTTTAAAGTTTAACTCCAGCACTTTTATTTAACCTATTTCAGTTTGATTTTTTTTCCTATCACATTTAAGAGACTCTGTATTTCAGTTAGAGTTCAGTTGTTTCAAGCTTGAAATAGCTGTCATATGTTTGAAATGGGCTGGTCAGGTCATCATGGAAATGTTTCAAGTTTGAAATTGAGTGCCTAAATAAAAAAAAGAGGCTATTTCATGCTCAAATACATCTCATTTTTGATTGAAACAGATAAAAAATGAAACATTTTACACAGGCTTTTTAGACTGTATTTATTAGCTGTTTTATTTTTATTTGTCCTTGGGGGAGGAGTAAGTAATATGACATGACTTGAAACTTTATGTTATTATAATATAAATAAATAATATTTTACACAATTCTGTTGCACATAAACATTGTGCAATGAAGGGCACACAGGGAAAATAGAAAAAAGGAAAAACATTTTTCTTGCCAGATTTCTACTGCATCCACCAATCACTTCTTAAACTAAGCAATACTTCAATTTTATGCAGTGTTAAAAACAGAAAGGAAACATCTGAACTTGTAATAGAAGTGCTAAATAAGAAATAGAACTTGTAATAGAACTGCTAAATAAAAGTTGTTATTCCTGCAACTTAAATTCTGAACTGAGCAATTTTCTCCTCTGTCTTACTCAAAATGGTAATAATCATTTGCCCAACTGGATAGATTCCATATAAAATATCTTAATTATTTTCTTGTCTGCTTTAATTTTTATTTTTTTTTAAACTATGTTTGTACTTTAAAAAAATAATGCAAACTTGGATCCCTGTTTAAGGACTGGCTTGAAGACAATTTAAGTTCTGCATTGTCTTAACTTGCACCTTATCACTCTGATGACCTTCAAATATATTGAATTGAATTGCCATACTTTCACACCAGCATCTGATAATTATCATTTTTATATACAATAAAGCCGAGTTAGTGCAGCACAGACATCAGTTTAGGGAAAGCGTGCTGTTGCTATAATTCATTTATTTCTGTTCTTAAATCTACAATGTGAATGTCATTCATGTATGAAATATGCATCTCCATACTCTCCAAAATTATTCTTTTACTACAGTGAAAGTCTAACAAGAAGAAAAAAGTGTAAATTTTTCACCAGTTTTTTTTTAACATGTAACCTCTCAAAATTTATTAGTATGTATTTTGCTCAGTGGAAATATTTTGCCAGGCCTGGAAACTAAATAGACTTGGTTTAGTTTTTCAATCGGACATTGTCAGGGATTACATAAACAACAGTGGGAAGTTGAATACCCTGAAAGAACATAAAGAAGAAATTTTTGGCATACAGTTGTCAGAAATACTGTGTGGATGTTTTCCTGAAGTTACAGGGTATCGAACCTAACTTGAAGGAGACATTACTTAATATGAACAATAAAACAGATTGGATTTTTATTGAGCCACTCATCCTGTTTATATTCTGAAGAACAACAGGTTCAGAAGATCATCTTAAAGACTGGCAGGTTGGTTACAGCATAAGTCTACATGGCTGCAACACAGAAATGCTAAACTGCTTTTTATCATATCTCTCATGATAATAACTCCATAGATACAGGAATTATTTGTTTTCTTTTGGTAGTTCTGCATCATAGCAAAGTAATAGTATGGATGTTTCCTTGATAAAATCTGAAGAAAAATTCTGGTTCCCTGTAATGACATAAATAACAACTGTTGCTTAACTAGTTAGTGGTGTAGTCTTCACCAAGCACATAGAAACTCCATATACAACAGCTCCTTATTTTTCATTTCAAAGTTCTTTCTATTTCAGAAATACAGTATGTTAGCCACAGACCTCAATATGGTGCATTCTATATCTCAGAAAGAAAGCCCTCAAGAATGAGTGAGATAAAATAAATTTAAGTTTATTTTAATGCTCACTATATTTATCATTATAATCTTTTCAACCTGTCCTGAAATAGCAACAAAGAAGTTTTTGTTCTTCACTGTCTTAAACTATTTGATGAAAAAATGGCATATATTGTGAGAAGGAACATGCCAGCAGCAGAAGAAAAGTACCTTGTAGGGCCTGGCATCAGTAAAGGAGGAAGAAATGCTGCTTATGGATGGTGAACATATATGGTGTTAAGATGCTGAATGTGGAGTGGGAAAACCCAGGTTTCAGTTATCCCTTAAACATAGAAACCAGTTGGGTAATTGTGGACCATGCCTTGTCTTTTAATGCTAGGTGGAAAGTTGAAAAACATCTGGCTTACCACTAATATTGGACCAGCGTGTTAGATAACAACCTATAACCTTTAATAACAAAAGCCAGTTTGGTGTAGTAGTTTAAGTAGTTGTTTCAGGCTACAAACTTAGAGACTGTGGGTTAAAGAAATAGAAAGCACATATATCTTAGAAGGGTGCAATATCTAACTATAAACATTCTTTGTGATACCACAGTTAAGTAGGCCTTTACCAGTTAGTTTTCCAAGTTGTATCTTAGATAGTGCTGACATTCAAAAAGATGCCTCTGTTGAAAATCCTAGTGTGGGGAGACATACAGAGAATTGTTGCCCAGAGAAGTGGGCAAGTGTTCTGAAATATAGTAAGATATTACTAGGACAAAGTGCCTGTCCTTTATAGTTTAACAGCAAATAACAAAGTGGTAACCAGAAAGGAGAAGAGCTAATAAAATCCAAAAGAAGCCAGTACCTCTGAAATAAATTCAGTTTAGTTGGTCTCTGGGATCCACAAAACAGCTTCTCAACATGCAGAATTGAACTTTAAGGAAGTATTTTTTTTTAAAAAAAAATCCATATGTGGTTGCTGAAGAATTGGAAAGAGGATGAGATTAAAAGAAAGTGATTCCAGAATGAAAGTGGAAGTGGAATGCAGAACATTTCATTTTTAATTTGTAGTTCTTTTTCAATAGGAGGCATCTCCAGAGTAGTTTGAAGGAAGAATAAATAGATTTGGCTGCAAGTTTTTGATCACAATAAAATAATAACATATGAATTGTGCCCTTTGAAAAAGATGTAAACATTATCTTTACTGCCTTTTTGGTCTACTCCTTTGGCTGGTTGATGACTGAATTTGCAGCTTCTAATGCCTGGGCAATTATTCCACACCCATCTCATAACCATGGAAAACATAATTAGGAATCTCAATACCAAGGTTCCAGAGCATATCTCTCAGCAAGATAGATCAGATGATATACTTTCTGAGGGCTTGGGATTCCTTCTGGCCGAGTCTTGAGGAATTCCAGATCTTCTTCAGAAGAAGAATATTCCATATTAAAGATGAAAGAAATAACATATTGTCCATTTTCATGACTAAGTTACATTCTGCCTCTTGCTACTTTAGTTGGCAAATACTTTTAAAACTCCTTATGAAGTTTCGTACAAAAATTCATGCATATTTTTATGGACAGTTCTCCTTTTTACCTTTTTTAAATCAGGTGCATACTTTCATTAGAAATATGCATTCTTTGCACTCACTGAAATATATACAATTCTTCTAAACTGGGATAAGAGCAAACATTATATATATATATAATCATTCCCCCTTGGAATGCAAGCTGCACATGCTTCTTTTTGAAGCCTATGGTAGCCTTACAGGTAAAGCTTGCTATCAGTTCTGTACTCTTTTTTTGACAGAATGTTTTTGCAGTAATTCTAGTATGGGTTCTTGGACTCTAATCACTTCTTCAAGAAAATTGGTCAGACAAACAATTCCAAGTGTATCTTTGATTGTGTCTAGTCTCTGAGGGATTCTGCTGGGCTATACTATCAGTATGTGCTGACAAGATGACCAAGTCTAAATAATTTTCTTTGCTGCAACTCTGAAAGGTGTTGGAGTATGAAACTTTCCTAACTTATTATCTCATCTCAAAAATATATTTGTCCTGGTACAGGCAAGTTACCTTGTATTAGGCCACATGCAACTTTTTAAGAATATTGAATTCTTTTTATTGAAATGATTTTCTCCCAATATATTCTAGTTGGAAATATAGCTTATATTATTAGAGTATTAGAAATCAGTAGGATTTAAAGCTCATGAGCAATTTCAAACTGAAATTCTAGGAAGAGGAGCCACAAAAAGAGACAGACAATGCTGTTCTTCCCATAGCTGCGCTTCTAAAATTTAGAGTGTAATTATTTTATATTATTTGCTGATTTGAAACTTATAAAGGAGAATAAATCTTGGATGCCATAAAAAAAATACATGGGCATTGCTTAACTCAGGGGTTCCCAATCTGTGGGCCACAGCCCACTACTGGGGCTGCAATTGGGTCATGTGAATGGTGGGCTGGCATGCATAAGGGAATGTAACTTCTGGAATGTAACGTTGTGGCTGGTATGCACGCACAGCTCAATTTGTGCAAGTTGAGATGTGCATGCATCTGCAAGCACACCAGCTTGCCACTCAAGTGAGTTGAGCTGCACATACCTGCGCACTGACCCATTGCTGGTTCCCCTCTTCCTGCCCCCAGCCGGGCTGCCAAGCGGCAAAGGTTGAGATTAACTGATGCGATTGCTTGCCTATCATAGTAATCTTTTTTTGCAGAGTAAGAGTCAGCTGTATTGAAGGAAGTTGCAAAGAGAGTTTGTCGACCTATTGATTTTTATTCCTTCCAGTGAAAACCTAGGTAGAAATCAGTTGGCATTTTATGTTGGTATGTTGTGATCAACTGTGTTCCCATTATGGGAATAGATATATTATATTGGTCCACTATTGTACATAACTGTTTAGCATAATTCTATGGAAGATAGTTTCTGATTATTTTTATTGGAATAAGAGATATTCTCCATTGTTTCCATTTGCTTATTTACAAGAAACAGGTCCTGGAATATGAGTAAACATTAGAATTGATAAATATTTTGCATAAATTTTATATTATAGTCTGTATCCAATAATTACCAAAGTTGTCTGTTGTTGGGTATGTTAGCAATTCCATATATTTTGGGTTAAATATCTCCAGGAACTGGCAGGTTTAGTATGTTTTAGAAAGCAGTCACAACTGGATATTGAAAGAGATTATTAGCTTCATGTGAGTCTCAATTGCAGCCAACCACCATATTTAGCCTGATTCTTAATTTTGATTTGATGGGGAAAAGGAAAGCTATTTATAATTATCCTGACCTACTGTATCTCAGAATCTCTCTAGGGTTTCTGGTGGGTCTTTCATAACCCTAGCTGGATCTGAAACTAGAGTATCTTCTCTGGATAGTGTATGCAATATCACTGTGTTATAACTGAATGGAGGTTAGTTGTGGTGAAATTTGAGAAGAGTTTTGTACATACTCTTGTATTAGGGAAAATCTTTTGAATTTTCATGATGTTGTAAAAAGTATTTGTCTGTTAAAAAAAAATAATTGAATTTTATTTCCTCTCTATTTATATTCTTTTTCAGGAAGAGCCATATGTGATGTTCAAGAAATCTGATAAACCTTTATATGGGAATGATAGATTTGAGGGATATTGTATCGATCTTCTTAGGGAACTATCAACTTTTCTTGGATTTACCTATGAAATTAGATTGGTGGAAGATGGAAAATATGGAGCCCGGGATGATGGTAGTGGACAATGGAATGGCATGGTTCGAGAATTAATTGATCATGTAAGTTACTTTAGAATTCATCTTTATGAATTTATTTTCTACATGATATGTCATTTTTTACCTAACATTGTGTTATGGTCGATGGGATGAATCAGGTGTTTCTCATCCTGGTACCATCATTTGTCTTTTTAGCTACAGAGTTCTTTATTTCAATACATAGAGCTGTGTATAGAAAATTAAAATTGTGCTAGTTAGCATCCTTCTTTATTTGTCGGAGAATTTTATGGACCTGGGCATTTGATATTTGTTCTTCCACAATGTGGGGTATTACAATCCAGAAATAATACTATCATGTAGTCAACAATATGTGTAGTTTTCATTTTTAAAGTTAATTGGAACTTTCTTCCATATAAATATATTGACATACTGAGATAATGGTTAGAAGTTCACCTGGGGCTGATTCTCTTATGCTATTTATGGTGTACAAGAACATTTCCATGGTAATATCCCTATTCTACAAGTCCTTTCCCAATCTAGTGTTAAGTTTCAGTTTCTCTGTTTCTTAGGGGAACTCATTTGTAAATTAACATGCTTGAATGCTTGAATAGTTAAGTGTGCATGATTGTGTACTTCAGGAACTTTGGGAACAAAGCATTTTTTATATTATACTTACTTCTGTTTCCAAGTGGAACTCATATAGACTCTTCACAATGTGTGGTATTGCTTTTCATTAGCATGTTCTGAGAAATGTCCTGCTTCTTCCATTTAAAATATCATCTATAAAGTGTTAGATTAGACAGAAATATCAATGTATACTGAAACAGCAGGGTAATTCAATGTGAGTCAAAACAGATATCATTACAAGCAATTGTTTATAATCGAGTAAGTCAGGCATCCCTTCCCTTCATTGCTTTTAAAACATATTCTCTCAGTAGGTGGTACCAATTGAATCTGGTTTCCTGGAAACAAAATTTAGTCCCCTTGAAAATTAGGTAATTGTCTTCAGCTTTTTTGTGTCTTGTCAGATTTACCTTTGCTTTAGAAAAACACTCAGTAGCAAAAACACTGGTAATAAAAGAAGGATTCCTTAGAGCTGTTGCTATTTAATACAACAATAAAAAAGAAGTGGTTCTGTCATTCAAATAGATACTTTTCATTTGAAATAATGGAATTGTCTTAAGCTTATTATTTTTGATGGGGCAATCAGTTACTTCCTTAGAGGCTTTAAAATCTCATTAGATCTTCCTACCATTTGAAACTTCTTTTTCAGTTCTCCATCCAGTTATTCCTTAGATTCACATATTATATATAGTCTCCTGTCAAACATATTATCTTGGATTCTTAATTTTAAGCTATACTATATAACCAAAGAGAATTAATATAATATTTAAGGTAATATAAACTGTGTTTGATGTTGGCTGGAGTTGAGATAAGCTGAATCACGGCATATCTGAAGGGGCTCAGAGTGAGAGAGGCTGCATTCAAATATAAATTATAACTTTGTCCACATTTTCTATAGCAAAAATAGTACAAATAATTTCTTTTCAAAGGTCAAACATAAAAAACAGTATATCTTCTTTTCCCCCTTTTTTCATTTGAAAGTTACAAGCAAAAATAACCTCCTTTAGCATTTAGCTCCCAAATGCCTACATACATATTCTAACATGGCTTTTAGACAGTAATAACTGCAAGCTACTTTCAGAAATTAATTCTAACTTTGAAAAATGCCATCCTACAGGTGAAACTCAAAAAATTAGAATATCGTGCAAAAGTTCATTTATTTCAGTAATGCAACTTAAAAGGTGAAACTAATATATGAGACAGATTCATTACATGCAAAGCAAGATAGTTCAAGCCGTGATGTGTCATAATTGAGATGATTATGGCTTACAGCTCATGAAAACTCCAAATCCACAATCTCAGAAAATTAGAATATTGTGAAAAGGTTCAATATTCTAGCCTCAAGGTGTCCCACTCCAATCAGCTAATTAAGCCATAACACCTGCAAAGGGTTCCTGAGCCTTTAAATGGTCTCTCAGTCTGGTTCAGTAGGAATCACAATCATGGGAAGGACTGCTGACCTGACAGTTGTGCAGAAAACCATCATTGACACCCTCCATAAGGAGGGAAAGCCTCAAAAGGTAATTGCAAAAGAAGTTGGATGTTCCCAAAGTGCTGTATCAAAGCACATTAATAGAAAGTTATGTGGAAGGGAAAAGTGTGGAAGAAAAAGGTGCATAAGCAGCACGACCGTAGCCTGGAGAGGTTTGTCAGGAAAAGGCCATTCAAAAATGTTGGGGACTTTCACAAGGAGTGGACTGAGGCTGGAATCAGTGCATCAAGAGCCACCACACACAGACGGATCCTGGACATGGGCTTCAAATGTCGTATTGCTCTTGTCAAGCCATTCCTGAACAACAAATAATGTCAGAAGCGTCTTACCTGGGCTAAAGAAACACATAACTGGTCTGTTGCTCAGTGGTACAAAGTCCTCTTTTCTGATGAGAGCAACTTTTGCATCTCATTTGGAAACCAAGGACCCAGAGTCTGGAAAAAGAATGGAGAGGCACACACTGCAAGATGCTTGAAGTCCAGTGTGAAGTTTCCACAGTCTGTGTCATGCCCCTGGTGGAGACTGACTCTGAGGAAGAGGAGGAACAGCCAACAGGGAGTGGGAGTGCGGCTCCAGAGGTGGTGGAGGAGGCTGGGGAAGGACAGAGGCTGGCTGAGCAATCAGAAGAGAATCCAAGCCCATCCCCTATCCATCCTAGGGCACGCAGAGAGAAGAGGATCAGGGAAAAACGAGGTCTTCTCAGGAGGAGTTTACCATGATTCTCCTCGTGGCTTGCAGCTGGGAGCTATGTATATAAGTTTGTAACTGCGTAGTCAGAGTTGCTGGGGTCAAAGTTTAATGTTTCCTGTGAAAGAGGTTTATCTTTGTTGGCGTTCTTCCCATGGACTCTTCCTGTTATCTTCCTGGAGTGTATGATTAATTATCTTGGCTTGCTTCGGAATTCTCATCAATGTGGTTTGTTTTGGTTTTCTTTTCCCCTCATTATTTACTTTTGTGACTTTAAACTGTGCCTAACAAAACAGTGAAGTTAAGTCGAAGGCATTACCGGACTTGAATGTATGTTTTGGGTTTTGGGTTATTTTGAGAGACGATGGGTCATCACAGTGTGTTGATTTGAGGAGCCATGTCATCTGCTGGTGTTGGTCCACTGTGCTTCATTAAGTCCAGGGTCAACACAGCCGTCTACCAGGAGATTTTGGAGCACTTCATGCTTCCTTCCACAGACGAGCTTTATGGGGATGCTGACTTCATTTTCCAGCAGGACTTGGCACCTGCCCACACTGCCAAAAGCATCAAAACCTGGTTCCATGACCGTGGGATTACTGTGCTTGATTGGCCAGCAAACTCGCCTGACCTGAACCCCATAGAGAATCTATGGGGCATTGCCAAGAGAAAGATGAGAGACATGAGACCGAACAATGCAGAAGAGCTGAAGGCCACTATTGAAGCATCCTGGTCTTCCATAACACCTCAGCAGTGCCACAGGCTATAGCTTCCATGCCACACTGCATTGAGGCAGTAATTGCTGCAAAAGGGGGCCAAACCAAGTACTGAGTACATATGCATGCTTCTACTTTTCAGAGGTCCGATATTGTTCTATGTACAATCCTAGTTTTATTGATTGCATGTAATATTCTAATTTTCTGAGATTGTGGATTTGGGGTTTTCATGAGCTGTAAGCCATCATCATCACAATTATGACAAATCACGGCTTGAACTATCTTGCTTTGCATGTAATGAGTCTATCTCATATATTAGGTTCACCTTTTAAGTTGAATTACTGAAAGAGATGAACTTTCGCACGATATTCTAATTGTTTGAGTTTCACCTGTATCTCTCTTCTTATTTAAATCATAAAAGATTTAAATAATTCTGAATGATAACCTTTATAGTTAAAAATGTGGGAGGGGTTGGAAATTAGAACAACATAACATTTATTGATTTATTTATATCCCACCTTTATATTTTTATAAAATATATTTTTATAAAATATAAAGGGGGGATATAAAATAAGAACTTTAGCATACGACACATCACAACATCAAAAGAAGTTTCCTGCATCAATAGCTTTGGAAATGAACAGAACTGAAGAAGCTTCTTAGATGAGAACAAGAATGGGATTCAAATTTCTTAACAATCGGTTCTTAACAACCGATCCTACCAAAGGAAATGGGTGGCCTTCGATGTGCAATAGCGGTGGCGGAAGCAGTGACAGGGGGCCTTGAGCACCTCTGCCCCACCCCGATCCTACCATAAGAAACGGGTGGCCTTTGGCATGTGATAGTGGCAATGGCAGTGGCAGCAGCAGCAGGGGGCCTTGAGCACCCCATCCCCACCCTGATCCTCCCAAAGGAAATAGGCGGTCTTTGGAATGCAGTGGCGGAGGTGGCAGTGGGCCTTGAGCACCCCCACCAGACCCCAATCCCCCCAAAAGAAACAGACCTCCATGTGTGGCGGTGGCGGCAGGGGAGCTGCTCAAGTCCATGGCGGTACTTTGGGAGGGCTGGGGGGGCTTCTCAAGGCCTGCAGCTCATTGTGCTGCAGCTTCCATGTGGTAAGGAGAGCTGGGAGAATGCCACATGGCGGCTTAGCCAGCCAGCCGAGGCATGGGATGGTTGGGGCAAGTAGATGAGTGAGGCCTGAGGAGCCCCAGAGATGGCTGCGGGAGGCCTGGGGAACCCCTGAGGTGGCCTGCAGAGCCCCAGAGGGGGCTGTGGGAGGCTCAATGAGGTTTGGGGACAGTGGGGGAAGGGCTAGCATGACTCGCAGGCTTACCTTTGAGCAGGCAGATCAGTGAAGAAGCTTGTGTCACAGCGAAAGGCAGGCAGCAATGGCTGCCCTGGTGGGTGGGCAGAAGCAGGCTGCAGGCATATCGTGCACGCGCACAATGTTGCACATGCATGATAGGCATTTACCGGGCAGGGAACAGAGAAGAAGGAGAGTGGCAGGGCCAGCCAGAAATCGTAACAACCGGATCTACCGAACC